TTTCTAAGGTTTGGATGTCTGTTAACTGTTACAAACTCAGCCCTGGGCCTAAAGCCCTGCAGATATATGTAGTTTCTATAAACACCAACAACAAATAAATAACAGCAGCTTGATTCTACTTTGTTCCTCAAATTGAGTCACGCAGTTTGGTAAATGGCCTGCATTTGATATAGCACCTTTTAGAGTCAAGGAACCCCTCAAGGCGCTTTACAACACAATCAGTCATTCACTCATTCACACACAAACATTCACACGCTGATGGGGATGAGCTATAATGTAGCCACAGCTGCCCTGGGACGCACTGACAGAGGCGAGTCTGCCATACACAGGCACCACCGGTCCCTTCAAACACCACCAGAAGGCAAGGGGGGATTAAGTGTCTTGCCCAAGGACACAACGACAGCGACAAACTGAGCGGGGCTCGAACCTGCAACCTTCCGATTACGAGGTGAGCACTTAACTCCTGTGCCACCGTCACCACCAGTTTAGCAAGTTCTGCACGCTCACACGTTCAACAGCATCTTTGCCAGCTGATTGGTTCTTTTGTTTGGTAACTGACATCAGTTCATTTGTGGTACTGAGCAGCACGACTGCATCAGTGGATTTCTCTGTAGTCGACGTTCAAAATGCATTCAAGACAGGACAGGATGTATAATCAATGAAATATAATATTATAAAGTCATACATACTTTATTATACATCCCAACCAGTCTATAACTCAACTCTTCCGGGGAAGCGTGCCCCCGTACCCCCCTAGAGTAGTTCAAGATTTATATTTTTCACCTCTGATCTTTCTCATGACTGCTCTGCTCTTTCATGTTTTATGCCACACCTTGTGGTTGTGTATAAGAACTGGAAGATATTTCTAATACACTTTGAAGGGGCAGTTTAAAAGATAGGGTTCGATAAAGTGGTGTATGTGTGGGGAAGGGGGGGGGTCATCGGGAATTGGGGGGAGGGGGTGGGACCAATGATGTGTCTGCATACCCCTTCGAAAGTAGGTAGTTGCAACCCTGTTTTGAGGGCTGGCAGTCCTGGATGTTCACACGTTAATTAGCCATTTTGATTAAATTTAAAGTTTTCCGGTTCGTGCCTTTGAACATTACTGTCGACCTTCGCCTATAAAATAGGACATGCACTTCCTACTCTTACTACACAGCCAGTCGTATGTTCACCAACAGAGACGACATGTGGTGAAAGATGGTTCACTTTTAGAGGTGTCATGAATCTCACCCTAGGATTAAAGTGTTCTCGTCTAAAGCTACACCTCTGCCTTTCTATTCTGCTTACTCATTTTATTTCCATCAGATCCTCTTTTTAATTTTAACTCGAAAGTCAGAGCAACGTCCTGGAACCATTCATTGGTGCATTACACACCAATTTTTACATTCTTCACAGCAAGCGCTGTACTTCCAAGACCAACAATCCAAAGCTTATCCGATCTATATATAAGAAACCCTCTCCCTCCTGCTTTGTGGACTCTCGTCTAAACAACAGCCCCAGATTTGTGTCCAGTCATTGTTTTAACGCCTTGATGTTGTCAGCTCCAAGTCATCACCAAGCGCTCCAATCACAGTACACATGTTATACGTTTCTCTTTTATTCCACACCTGTTGCTACCTCCGCTCTTTTAAGCATATCCTGTCTGAGTCCAGCTCAGCTTCCTGATTGTAAATCTGTAAATTTGATACTCCTCTTGTTTGCCATACAGGATACAAGTTCATAAGTTGTACAAAGGTTAAATACAAGTCAATACGCCAATTTATAACATTGATTATTAAAGTTTTAATTTCTCTATGCAGCCGTTCATAACTTTATTTGTAAGTTTATCATTTTAACACCTCGTTCCAGCTGTTTAACTTTGAGGTGATGTGACGGCATCGTCTCCTTCTGCTCCTTGATTTTTGGCCGGAGCAGTGTGTACTGTTCAACCAAGACAAGGCAACGTTTGACGATGCGCTTTTGGGAAAACCCAAAAGCTAAAAGTGCTCCTTGGGGAACTGTGAAAAAGATTGTTGTACCCCAGAGATACAGAAATACGATCTTAGCATTAGCACAAGAAAGCAAATGGTCTGGATATTTGGGGATTAGTTGTAGCGTCATGAATGGCCTGTAATTTGTGAACCAAAGGTCACTTTCCCAGCTGGGTCAAGCTGGGTGGAGCTGTAACTTTGTCCCACAGATTAACCCAGGAGCCGTGATGTCTGCTAGACACCATCTTTATCTGCTGCTGTTCCGTCCCAAGATGAAGGACACTTCAAGATTTTTAAATAATAATTTTAATAAACTCTTTGACTTTATTACTGTTTATTACAATCATCATGAATAATCATCTTTGTTCAGTATAAATGTATTTAATTACTGGAACGACTTATGCTTTGGGTAATAATAATAATTATTTATGATAATCAGTAATGTGTGTTCAGTAAACCAGAAGGTCATTTGCACGTTAACCACCTCATCCAGGGTAAAGTTAAACCACCTCACATGTCTTTACTCCGTAACATCAAGCTTTCTGACGCTGAGAGGGCGTGTTCTGAGGCTTTGTTAAAACCAAATCTCCGCAGCTCAAAGTCAGTTCTTGAACCAACCAGTGGACGAGGGACGGCCGCCCAAGCCTCTACTAAGCTGTTCTGTCACGCCGATAGAATTGCTCTGAATAAACGCACCTGTATCCAGCTGACGCAAAAACTCCTCCAGAGTTATTGATTTTGAGACGCAAATAGTTTCATCAGTCGTGTGACCCACAGAGACATCTCAGGACCGATTTGAGACGCACCGAGGTCTCTCTACCAACCTCGTGCCCAGAGGAAACCATCTCCCTAACATCTCTGATCCACGGAGGGTCTCCTGAACTGGGTGAGGTAGACATTGTCCGACAGATGGCGTCTGATGCTGTTCTCTCTAAGAAACAACTGAGTTAGCTGTGCTAAACAACTTTCCATCCAGAACGCGCTTCTCTCTCTGAAAGAAATCTTCTGAGATTCATTCACGCATCCAAACCTCGCATTCCACCTTAGTTTTCCATCCAGGCGCAGGTCTGTTTAATTACAAGTTTTAACCCTTTGATGCATAATGGTCACTACAGTGGACAGGTACTCAAAAATTGTATTTATTTATTTTTGCTATTAAGCACAGCTGTTGAAGACTTTATTGCATTTGAGCCCCTCCATTTGGACTTCGGTAAGCCAAGCCAACATATTTCATGTTCAGATTGCACGCTGTCCACTGAGGTGGACATGTAATAAATTATTTGTAAATTATAAAATTTTACAAAAAATATTTATTGAAATTTGTTTCATTCACACCTAAAGATTAATCAAAAAAATTGTTAAAAAAATCATGGTTGAAGATTTCATAATTCATGCATCAAAGGGTTAATATCAAGCTGTTTCAAGTTGTCATTTTTAAGTTTTAGGTTTTAAAAGTTAAAAATTTATTACTGACTCTTCTTTGAAATGAAACACAGAATGGTGAATATTTTGGTTATTGAATAAGCAAAGATTCCTTTAAACTTCTGATTCAATAAATAAACTTTTGCTATTAAATTTAATTATCTTAAATTAAACATTAAATAAAATATAGACAAAGACAGTTAGTGTATTAACTTCTATTGATTGCATTAATATCCTAGATATTTGTGCATAATATAAGTTCAAATGCTAATGTCCAATCTTTTCTCAGGATCTAACCAAACTGAAGCAAACAGTGTCAAATCCTAGTATGTAGATTAACCACGCTACATAGTAAAACTTATAAGTTTATGTTGGACCAGTTTTTCTGGCCAGGGTGAGGTGGTGTTCACTTCTAACCTCTGCCACATGGACCTCAAGCGATAAACCATCAACCCTGCTCAACGGTCAACTTTCCTGGCAGGGTCACCCATAAAGACAGCGGGAGGGTTAAAGATAACCAAAAAATGCAGTTGGTCAAAAATGACCCAGAATACACCGGGGCATTATCTAAAGGATGTCGGATCAAAAGCCGGCAGCTACTTCGGGGCAAATTTCAAATTTAAAAGTAAGTCAACTAATTTAAAATGTTTTTTTAGATCCAAAGAAGTTCTCTACGGATGGTTAGTTGCAGCTTTGGTGGCTAGCGGGTTGTAACTCACTTATATATTGAATTTACTAAATATATAAACAATTTCAAAAGTAAATGTAAAGTAAATGGCCTTCTAGAGTCCTGGGACCCCTCCAAGGCACGTTGCAACACAATCAGTCATTCACCCATTCACACACTGGTGGGGATGAGCTATGATGTAGCCACAGCTGCCCTGGGGCGCACTGACAGAGGCGAGGCTGCCGAGCACTGGCACCACCGGTCCCTCCGACCACCATAAGCAGGCAACGTGGGTTAAGTGTCTTGCCCAAGGACACAACGACAGCGACAGACTGAGCGAGGCTCGAACCTGCAACCTTCCGATTACGGGGCGAGCACTTCACTCCTGTTTCACCGTCACCCAAAGGGCTCATTATATATTTATATTGAAACTTATTCGTAAAAAAATAACGTTATCTCCCATGTCACATGATGTCACATGACTGCCGTGGAAACCCCATGCAAGTTTGTTCCATTTAACCGTTTTCTTTGACCAAGGAAGGCTAGTGTCCTCGTAAGGAAGATGGCTGGCCTCGCAAGACATCGCCTCTCAAGACCAGGTGCCTTGACATTGAGAAACACCTCCAAAGTCACTGGGGGACGCCATATTTCTTCTACGTGAGCCGGCTCGGGATCCTGTGCTTGCAGATGACGTCCCACTAGATTGGCTGGATGTACGACTTAGAAGTACGTTACCACGTTTGTAAAATTTCCGTTAGCATGTTTACACGGAAGATTTTTATTGGTCTGGACAAATATACGATTGTAGACCTTTGCTATTGTCGTCCTGTAGCTAACAGAAACTTTTTTGGGGAAAAATACAGCCAACATTGCCAAAGAAAATGTTCAATGATAGCAAAATATATCAACTGATAAACAGAGACCCTGAGCAGCTCTGAATTTGTTGAAATGGGACAAAATTTAAAAGAATTTTATTGAACAAATAACAAGTATACATGTTGAATGAATAGATATATTTACATAAGAACTAACAAAATATAGAGAAGAATTCAACATTTATACAAACAAAAAGGGCTGCTAATTATGTAAAAACATTTAGACGGTAAGCAACATGAATTTAATAACAAAACTGCTAAACTCTTTCCAAAACCAATGTGAAAGAACAGAATAAAAGAAGATATGCAACATAATTTCACCAAGTGGTTTTGCCGTAGTTTGACGTCATCAGTAGTTGCAGGACCCCCTGTCACAACGTGCCGGCGAGTGGAGCGGAGGTGAGGATCCAAACGCTGGGGAGGAATCAGGCAGGTAGACAAACTGGGACAGGTAAGGTCTTTTAATGAGAAACACGCTGACATGGAAACAATGAGGCAACAAGAGACACAGAACTGGAGGGGTTTAACTACAAGAGGGTTGGGATCTTGGGTGATTAGGAAACGAGAGGCAGGTGGGAGCAATCAACAGAGACACAGGCTGAACCAAATGGGGAGACAGGACAGGGTGTGACACCCCCGAGTAGATCTGGTACACACACCGCCAGACAACTAGCATCAGCATCACATTTTATCGATGGAATCAACTGAAGGACCATCAAAGTCTAAGGAGTCAAGCCAATATCACATTCTGTCTGCTCCACAGGTAACATTTACCGTGATAGTTTGCTAAACTAGCGACAGTCAAGGTGATATGGTGTAAAACTACCTGAAATGTGTACTTTACTGTCATTGAGGCATGGACGTACGGGGGGGTGGGGGGTGGGGGGGCATGTCCCCCCCACTTTTTTCAAAGTCAAGTTTTGACCCCTGCACTTTTTACCATCCAAAAATAATATTACGCTATTTTAAATTGACACTGGTTGAGCTCTAGGACCAAGCGGAAAACAACCGTTTGTGTTGTGTTTCCCGTTAGAGCATACTGTAAAGATACCCCCCCCCCCCCATGTCCCCCCCACTTCTAAAGCGAAAATGACGTCCATGCATTGAGGTACTTCCATCTAACAATAGTTTATTCATTTTAAAAAAGCATTTAAAGGGATACTATGCAACCTTTTCACATTTTTAAATTACTTCTTCAGTCAGTATATGCTAAAACGACCCTTTACAGCATTAGTACTACTACTCAGACCACCACAGCCCTCTTGGTATAGAATACTATTTTCACAACTTCAGAGTGTCAGTCAATCACCTGTTACACATAATAACATTTAGCTTACATACCTGGCACTGCAGTCTGCTTTCAGCACGTTTCCTGCATGTTTTAGATCATGAACACAGCTGATTTGATGAATATCCTCTCTAGAAACTAGTGAAGGCTGGGGAGACATTTCAGCTGTTAGATTAAGATGGACGCCCAGCGAGGACATAGGTTTAATTTTTGCTTTGACCACAGATAATTAATAGTGGACACAAGGGGTGCTAAAATCAAGCTAAACTGCCAAGTATGCCTTTAAAAAACAAATTGTGCTATGACACTGCCAGGGATTTTTGGCCTTCATGGCCATTCGTTGGTAAGGTCATCACTTGTACACAAAAATACCCCTTGCTTGCAATGATTTTGGTATGTATTGTAGCCAGAAAACTACACACTGTCAATTTAAGTCAATAATGGATTACTATACCATACCATACCATACCATAGTTTATTTATATAGCACATTTAAAACGCAGCATGGAAGCTGCCCAAAGTGCTGCACAGGCTGGACCAAATCACGACCAATCAAAGCAACGAAACAGAAGATATAAATACCGATCAATAAAAGAAAATACAAAAAATGAGGAATACTAAGAACACAATAAAACAAGTCACGGTCTAAAAGCCAAATCTTAGAAGTAGGTCTTTAAATGAGATTTTGTGAACTAAGTGAATGACAGACAGGTCCGTCAGCCGAGCAAGACACATAACACATTTATCATGCTGGAAAACATCCGTGACCCAAGGGACACACAATGCTTCGTTTACAGATATTATAGAGACAGTATGGGCATGATGGAGAGGACAAGTCAGACACGGCTCACACACCTAAAGAAGCAGAACATCAACTACGCTGGCATTCATCATCTGTATTCAAATTTATGTTATATGTATATCATAAATATATGCACAGCTGTAGATAATTATTTTCTCTCTCGTCAGATATAATTTATGATTTATAAATATATATGTCTTAATTAGTTTTAAACAATAACACATTTAAAAATGGAGACAAACTAATGTTCACTGGTCCCCATGCTGGGCTGCTCTTGAAGCCAAATCTACAAGCAGCTGATCTGATTTGTGTTTAGAACGTAATAAAAACACCTTTAAAGCATTCATCAATTCTTAAAATAAAGAATGAAAAAAAAAATATCAGATTGAACACGTAACCCGGGCAGAAACTCAGAACCCAAAACCATAAAGTTTTTGTTCATTTTAGGCTGGACCACCATTGTGTGTGTGTGTGTGTGAGTGTGTGTGTGTGTGTGTGTGTGTGTGTGTGTGTGTGTGTGTGTGTGTGTGTGTGTGTGTGTGTGTGTGTCCACGTTGAAAACAAAGATAAGTCTGATAAGACTGTCCGATAGGTGGATGTTCTTCACATCTCTGACCAGTGATCTGGATTTTCCTGGACTGAATGTCTAGGGAGAGCTGCCTGACTCAAAACATGCTCTGTGTGGACTAGAACCACAGCAGCCCAGTGGTGTGTCTGCATGGCAGTGTTACTGTAAAGTTGTCTGTGCGAGATATTCCAACTGTTAAAATGAAAAATCTTTTAAAAATGTCTGAAATAGGCCCAGCAGCATGTGTTAGTGTATGTGTTGTGTTCAACAAGCACAATCTTGATGAGACCTCTGGGGCTGTTCACTGAGCTGGGGCCCCTGCTTGGCCCCAGTGATGTTGGGGTCATTGTTGTCTAGGGTCTCTGCCATCCTCTCACAGATAATATCCACCAGCCACTCAAAGGTCTGCTTCACATTAATGTTGTCTTTAGCACTCGCTTCAAAAAACTCAAAACCTGTCGAGATGGGACAGAAAAAGACACAGAATCAGATTATCCACAATTTAGTTTGTTAATCGTACCAGTGGAGGTTAGAGTGAGCTGAGGAAAACGGCTCTGCAGCAGGAAGATCGCACACGTAACATCAAACACAGTTTACAGCAGAACAAACCCAAACATGGTCCAGTATTTAGCAAACTAACCTTTCCGCAAGTTTTGTTGATGTCGTAATGTTCCAAGTGGTCAGTTTTCACCTACATAATGACCACACAAGATAGCCTTCACTTGCAGACGGGGAAGCACCATCTGTTTGGACACCCAAATCCAAACAAGCCTTTGCCACGGTTCTGGCTACTACGAGGAGTCATGACATTCTCACTCAAGGCCTCCTGCAGGTCTGCTGCATTCCTCACTCTGAATAAAGTGAACCTACTCGAAGTTCCTATGTGACTTTAAAATAATGAATGAACAAGATGTTTAAGTCTAATGTTTGAATAATCTGTGCTTTAACCAGTGATGGCTTTAAAATGAATACTGCTCTTACAATGATCCATTTCAGATCATATCTACACCAGATCGGTATGTGTTTGATTTAACAAGGTAATCAATATCTACACTCATACGCATTACAATAAGATGCTTATTAATGTTAATGTTCACTTCACATAACGGTTTTAAACATGCTCATTCACAAAGTGTTAAACACCTTTGTATCTGGAGAAAGCCTGGCTCCTGAGGAATGTTTGGTAAAACCCTCAAACGTGTCAAATTCTGATTTGCCAAACTTGCCAAAATTTATAAACATTGTGGTTCAATAAGACAAGAATTACTTCCTGATTAATTCGGTTTCTAGCCGACTCCCAATTCGGCCAAATGAGGAAAGAAGCCTTTTTGAAAATAGCTCCTTGACCTCTAGTCAAAGCCTCTCTGCGACACTGCGAGCATTACAAACGGCTCTTTTCAGAGCTACTTCACACCTCAGACCCCGGGTTGCATCTCATGGCCGGTGAAGCTGAACTCAGAGGAAGCTCCTGATCTCTGAGTGTTGTGGTTTCGACATCGGGTGACCTCACTACTAGGACCGCACCCCTCCAGACTGCCGGGAGCAATTCATACCTAGGTAGCCTGCACACTGGCGTCGGATGAGTTCAATAAACAACAGCCTTGGAAGCAAACACGCATTCCAGCTTCCTGTTGTGACCTGGAGATATCTCAAGACTAGACGGGTCGTATCAGAGCTAATCTACGGTCTCTGGGTACCTTGAGGTCGATGTCCACCCCAATTTCGTGAACTTCTGCTAGGGGTCTCTACACAAAGGGTACTGTAGACTCAACAGATTGCGTTGGACGATTTTTTTAATAAACAATTCTTAGCTCACCAAACAAACATCCGAATGCTTTTACAAAGTATACTTCACAAATTCCCTCAGATACAAAGAACGGTTTTGCTAAAACATCTAACTTCCATCACGACATTCCACACATCACATTAATCCACTTCATACTAATCATTCCATGCATATCTTGTCATGTATAATCATTAGTTTAGGAAAAAGAATTACGTTTATTTTTATAAACTATATTTGACTCTGTCTGAATTAATATGGAGTATGGTCCCTGAATAAGTAAAGAACACCAGAATCTTCTGAGCAAACGTTGACAGATCAATCAGATAGATATTTCACATTTATATGGAATTACTACATCTTATTGGTCATTATTAAATATGTAGTTCATTGTCACGCCACAATGCATGAACAGTGAGACCCACAATAAAACATGTTTGGACCACAATAGGTAGATTACAGGACAAGACATAAAAATCTGGATGACTCTAGACTTTCTGCTGGTATTTCCCAACAAGACCGAAGTTATCATCTTTAGACCAGAACCTGTGATGAGGAGGAGATCGTCACTTCCTGTGGTAAGGCGTTTTGCATCACTTCCTGTTTTCAGTGTTGCACTCCATGTAGCTGTTCTGGGTTTGTGGCTCACTAAGATTGATTAATTTCTCTGTACTGGGACATTTCTGAGATACTGTAGCACGTAAGCATGCTAATAACACATTTTCTGTTGTACCACCTAACCTCGAGAGAGCCATTTGAGTTTGCACGCAGTTTATTTGGTGTTGAAAGGGTTGCTCGCCCAGTTAGCCTCAGCTATGGCTACTTCTGTATCTGCTTCTCCATCTCCTATCCCTTGCACTCTGCATTACATGTTCAGTTACTCCTCTGCCACTTTTAGTGATAATGGTACGTGTAACATTTTTGTAGCTTTGGAAGCAAGGGTGTTGGAATTGGAGACCCGGCTCCACGCTGTTAAAAAGCCAGAAGATAGCCGTAGCTACTTAGCTAGCGCCGGGCTAACTAGATAAAAACCACCCAGTAGTTGTCCTCCAGTAAAACCCAAGCAGCCGGGACCTCAGGCCAGCTGGGTGACGGTACGTAGGAAGCATAGAACCCAGCCCGTGGGACACCACCAACCCGTCCACTTTTCAAACACTGACAAGCCGACTCTGATCATTGGCAGCTCCATAAACAGAAATGTGGCATTAGAGACTCCAGCAACCATAATCAAAGGTCTTCCAGGGGCCAGAGCAGGCAACATGAAATCCTACCTGAAATTGCTGGCTAAGAATAAACGTAAATACAGTAAGATTGTCATTCACACCGGCGGTAACGACACCCGGTTACGCCAATCGGAAGTCACTAAAATTAATTTTGCTTTGCTGTGTAAGTTTGCCAAAACAATGTCCGACTCCGTAATTTTCTCTGGCTCCCTGATCAGACCAGCGATGACATGTTAAGTCACAGTACTTCCACTGCTGGTTGTCTAGGTGGTGTCCTGAAAACAACGTGGGCTACAGTGATAATTGGAAAACATTTTGGGAAAGCCTGGTCTGATGTGAAGAGACGGCATCCATCCCTCTTTGGATGGAGCAGCTCGTCTTTCTAGGAATATGGCCAGTTTTATTAGTCCTCCATGACAACCCAGGGTCCAGACCAGGAAGCAGAGTCATAGTTTAGCACACCCCTCTGCAGCTTCTGTACTGTTACCCACCCACTACTAAGGATGGGTACCTTTGACATTTGAATCGATATGGTACCAATTCCCGGTACCTACAAATCGATATCAGTACTTAACGGTACCAATTTTCGATACTTTTGAGTGTTTACTAATTATTTAAATTGCTTTTTTAATTAAATACATGTGTGGCAAGGTGGAGAAACAAGGGCCCGGGTGAGATCCGATCTCCAGATGTGTGCTAACCAGTCAGCCAAAGGGACATCGCCTTGGCCAAGTAGCCAGGGCACCTGATCAGTCGGGATGGATACGTACTGCAGGATTTTAAGGTTGCTGTAATCAAACCGCTACTTAAGAAACCTTCTCTGGATCCAGATGACCCAATGAATTATAGACCAATATCTAACCTTCTATTTTTATCCAAAGTCCTGGAGAAAATAGTGGCCAATCAAGTATGTGAGCATCTGAACACTAATGATCTGTTTGACAAATTTCAGTCAGGTTATAGAGGGTATCACAGCACTGAAACTGCATTAGTGAAAGTAACAAATTATGTGTGTGTGTGTGTGTGTTTAAAGGTGCTACATTTTCCCATCAAGTTTTTCTCTTTGAATGGAAAGTTACGCAGTTTTCAGACCCCATTTTTGGCATAAGCAAGCTTTATAAACAAGGCCCGAGCTTTAGTTTAGACTCAAAATAGACTTACCCAGCTGTTCAGATAGCTGCCGACCTCTCTCTGAGGCCACGATCCGTTCATCAATCATATCACATTTGTTTCCCACTAAGAGGACTTGAGCATTGTCCCAAGAGTATGTCTTGATCTGGGTCGACCTGTAAAAAGACATACTGTAAGTGGTTACTTGTATTAAATAGTCAATAAAATATAAAAGGTGTTCAATAAAATGTAATATTCCACTAAAATATGGATTATCAATATTATTGATATATTTGATTGATGATTAAACTAGGTAATTTGGATATGCCAGGGAACCAACATTTTATCATAATTTTAGACAGAGGCATGCTTCACAGTAGGTATGGTGTTCTTGGGATGCAACTCAGTATTCTTCTTCCTCCAAACACGACGAGTTGAGTTTATACCAAAAAGCTCTACTTTGGTTTCATCTGACCACATGACATTCTCCTAATCCTCTGCTGTATCATCCATGTGCTCTCTGGCAAACTTCAGACGGGCCTGGACATGCACTGGCTTCAGCAGCGGAACACGTCTGGCACTGCAGGATTTGATTCCCTGCCGTTGTAGTGTGTTACTGATGGTGACCTTTGTTACTGTGGTCCCAGCTCTCTGCAGGTCATTCACCAGGTCCCCCCGTGTGGTTCTGGGATTCTTGCTCACCGTTCTCATGATCATTTTGACCCCACGGGATGAGATCTTGCGTGGAACCCCAGATCGAGGGAGATTATCAGTGGTCTTGTATGTCTTCCATTTTCTGATAATTGCTCCCAAATTTGATTTTTTCACACCAAGCTGCTTGCCTATTGTAGATTCACTCTTCCCAGTCTGGTGCAGGTCTACAATTCTTTTCCTGGTGTCCTTCGAAAGCTCTTTGGTCTTGGCCATAGTGGAGTTTGGAGTCTGACTGTTTGAGGCTGTGGACAGGTGTCTTTTATACAGATAATGTGTTCAAACAGGTGCCATTAATACAGGTAACGAGTGGAGGACAGTTCAGTTCAGTTCAGTTCACTTTATTTCAAACATATACATTCACCAACATTTCATAAAATCATTCCACGCAATTGTTTGAAAAGGAGTAGGTAGAAGTATATACTTATTTAGCCCTACCCCCTCAGGTTTACATCCTCATTATCAAAATTTAAACAACAAAACAGTTACAATGCCTTCAAAAAAAAAAAACCACACAAAAAAAAAAAATAATAATAAATAAATTAAATTCTCATGTTCAACTAGAACTATATTTAGATTTTCTAATTTGTAGAATAGATTAAACATCAGTTTACATGCCGTCCTGGGTTAATTGCATTTTCTTCATTCTTATACTTATTTAACATTTCTTTTTTGAGTTTTATTTTAAACTGGTTTACATTACTACTATCCTTTATTTCTTCTGTTAACTCATTCCAGAATTTAACGCCCGCTATTGAAATAGACATCCTTTTCAATGTTGTTCTTACTCTTTGTACTTTTAAATTCCACTTCCCTCTAAAATTATACCTCCCTTCTCTTTCTAAGAACCATTTACTTATTTCAATTGGGAGCATCCCTTTCCTTACCTTATATATTATTTGCACTGTTTTAAACTTGACCAGGTCCTGGAATTTTAAAGCTTGCGTCTTAATAAAGAGTGCGTTTGTGTGAGCCCTATACCCCTCCTGATTTATTAGTCTAATAGCCCTTTTCTGCATTATGATTATGGTCTGAATATTACTTTTATATGTGTTTCCCCAAACTTCTACACAATAACTCATGTATGGTAATATGAATGCACAATATAACATATATAATGTTTTCCTATCCAGAAAATGTTTTACTTTCCCCAGAAAAGCTTCTTAAAGAAGACGTTACAGGTCTGTGAGAGCCAGAGATTTTCCTTGTTTGAAGTGACCAAATACTTATTTTCCACCCTGATTTACAAATAAATTCTTTAAAAATCCTGCCATGTGAATTCATGGATTTTTTTTTCACATTCTGTCTCTCACAGTTGAAGTGTACCTATGATGTAAATTACTGACCTCTGTCATCATTTTAAGTGGGAGAACTTGCACAATCGGTGGCTGACTAAATACTTTTTTGCCCCACTGTAAGTCAGTATGGAATAAGAGGTGTGGCTCATCAATGGGTTAAAACTTATTTAGAAAAAATGAAACAGTTTGTTCAAATAAAGGATCATAAATCAAAACTATGTGATATTAATTGTGGAGTGCCACAAGGGTCGGTCCTCGGACTAAAACTGTTCATTTTGTTTATTAACGACTTGGTAAATGTATCTAAGACACTCGGTACCATTCTATTTGCAGATGATACAACGCTGTTTTACTCAGGATCAAATATTGAGGAGGTGGTAAAAGTGAAAAATGATGAACTGATTAAAATTAAAAACTGGTTTGATATAAATAGATTGACACTGAATCTTAATAAAACAAATTTTATACTGTTTAATGATAAAAAGAACAGTGATGTGTCATTGGAAATAGATGGAATTGCAATTCAAAGAGTAAAAGAAACTAAATTTCTTGGAGTTCTTATTGATGAAGACTTGTCATGGAAATCCCATATTAGTCATATAAAAGGTAAAATTGCCAAATCCTTAGGAGCATTACATAGAGTCAAGTTTTTACTGACTAATTCTGGTTTGTTGGCATTGTACAATTCACTGATTGTTCCATACTTGACTTATTGTGTCGAAATCTGGGGAGTAACATACAAAAGCTATCCACTTACAGAAAAGAGCTCTGAGAATCATAATTTATAGTGTTTGTAGAGAACCATCAAACCCATTGTTTATTAAATATCTATTCCTGAAATTTCATGATTTAAAAGACTGGAAAATCTTACAAACTATGTATAAAGCTAAATTAGGTCCTCTGCCAACAAACATTCAAGGGATATTTGAAAAGAGAACTAGTAATTACACGCTGAAACAAACTGATGCGTTTACAAAACCCAGACTTAGAACTAAAATGAAGGAATGGAATATATCTGTAAATGGTGTTAAATTATGGAATAACCTTAAAAGGGACATTAAAAAATGCGGTCATTTAATATATTAAAAAATGTACCAAATTGAGTGTACTAAATAATCATGAAAATGTAAATTAAATCAATGATCATGATCACACTGGAATTAAGAACAGGAAAAAGTTTTAAATGAATCTGTATGTGTGACTGACTAATGGAAATTGTATACAAATAGATTATTTCTTCTGGAAAAGGGGGCAGAAATTATAAGATGTTTTTCTTCATTCTGCTCTTTTTTGTTCAAATTTGATTTTTTGTTATGTGTATCTTATTGTTTAAATATTTTATTTGTTTTTATTTTGAATGAAATAAATGAATAAAAAATAAAGTAGACTCACTTGTTGTATTTCTGATCTGTTTAAAGAATTATGTTGACTAATTAATTAATGTAAAGCAGTCAAGACATTATTAAATCACTTTAGATAAAACATTCATTGTAGATAAAACAGAATATGAACCTGTGAAGTGAGGAAATAATTTTATGATACAGAATAAGAATTATTTTATTAAAAGTGCAAAGTCTCATCTTCTGGAGGAGACCTTGTAGCTTCCAGCACAGATAAACAGGAGAGATTGTGGTGACAAATATCCAGATGGCCACCTTATAGAGATGATCAGACAGATGAAACCAGCTGGACACTTAATGTGTGGTGACATCTGCCCACTGGTAGGGCAGGTTGTTAACAAATGTCATAACCTTTGCATTACACAGCCTTTTCCTACGCTACATACCCTTTGGTGGAAAAGCAAATAAGACTTAACTGAATGATGTAGTTAATATTTGTGTGAAAAAATTGTTTAAAAAAAAAGGAGGGTGAAAATACTAAAAAACTTAAGTCTAAATACTGACGCACTGCACTGAAAATAGAAAATGAATTAAATGTAGGAAAATCAGTCAATTAATTACATGAAAACTAAAAAATTGAAAAATTTAATGAAAAAATATTTAAAAGAGGCGTGATAAGCTAATCACTATGTCTGTGAAGGTTCTCAGTCATCCAGGTCATTGTAGTCCACGTCATTGTAGTCTAATGAAACTGGTTTTGAGATCCCTTCCCAGATGCCTCAACGCCCACGCATATCCTGGGCCATCTGATCTCAGGAATTCACATGATAGGGTGGGGCCAGGTTTCACAATGATCTCACCCGAAACTCTGGCTGAATAGGACCCACACCCACCCTCACACCTTGGCTCATAGAAGATCATCAGGGGGTCTTTTGTTCCCTCTTCGGGGGGAAACTCCCACTGGGTTTAAATCTGGGACTCTCCACCATTTGACCTTAGAACTGAAGAAGCCTCTCGGATGAGAGGTGAAACGTCTTCAAGCAACTCAAAGAAGTCCAGATGCTTTTCTTTCAAGCTCATTAGAAAAGCTAATCACTAATATCACATAATGTGTATGTTCTACAAAAGTAAAACTAAATGATTACAGGAATTTTAAAATGTAATTTTATTAGAAAATAAAAAATATGTAAAAATTATAAATAATACAAAAAAAAAGTTGAATTTATCTTTGTAATTTTAACAGCTCTGCTATTAAACATGCGTTATCCCTAACTCCAAATGTTCACAGCGTGACATCAAAGCCAACCAAGTCTGTTTGTCAACATAACATAACCAGGAGACTAGGATATAATTACATGTAGACACAAACCAAAACATTCAAACACAGAACTTGCATAACATCAGCCAAAGAACGGAGAATGACAGCAAACACCTGAGAGAGAGAGACAGAAAAACTATATATTTTGTCTGTCGTACCGCTGACGCTGTTTCATCGGCTCCAGTACCGAAAGAGGGGTTCGAGGACCTGGCATTCTGGATCTGTATGGAGGTCTCATTCTAAGGGTATGTGTGGAGCGACAACATGGCGTCGAATGTGTTTATGAATCTCCTAATCAAAGCTCAGCGCGAAGACATCACCTTCATTCCCATCAGAATTAATCGTTTCTTCAGATTTGCTGGTTCTGAACAACATTCCACATTACACCATTCTCCGTCTCATCCCACCTTAGTTACACCATACATTTAGTGTTAAGTTAGTCTAGTTTAATTTGTTTAGTAATAAATCTTTAAACTTTTAAATCTCGACTCTCTCTTCTGTTGTCTCTC